ATTTAAAGAATGTTAGGAATGTTAGACGTTAGAAATAATTGGAATTCCTAAAATTAGTCATATAAGAAATGCATAGGTGGATTTTAAGATAATTGATATTAAATTAGTTAGGATGAACCGAAAATTTTGAAAATAGGGTTCTAAGTTAGAAGTAATTATTCAAGAAAATCAAAACCCCAAGTCAATCAGAACTTTCGTTCTAGAGTTATCGTGCCGGCATACATACACACAGACGACCAGACGAAATTTTTTTTGCATTTTCGGAGTTTTTAAAATAAAAATTATGTTTAAAAATCGGCAGATTTCAACTAAAATTGGTATCTGAAAATTTTGGAAGTCAAAGATAACATCATAAATATTTTTTTAAAAATTTAAAATAGCGCTGAAAGAAATCGTATTCAATCTAAAAGGTCTCTCTTGAATAGAAATAATTAAAATCGTCCTTTTGGTTTCTGTAACTGGGCCATTTTAAAAGCAGCCAATCATTACTGTTTAATAACGAATAAAGAATATCGAGTGGCCGGATTGGACGCGAAGTGATAATTTAGGTGGGATCAAGTGAAATATCGTTGGAGAGAGAAATGTGGTTTTAATTTTAAATTATTAAAAATTTAAGTACTTAGGCATTCCCTGTTATTAAAATTTCTATATCGAGGGATGTTCTGGGTAAAATACTTTACTGATTTTTTTTTTTTAATTTTACCTGAGCTTGTTTCGTGTACCTAATCCCCTTATTTTTAATCAGAAAATGTCTTGAGTTCTTACAAGAGCAAATAATGCCCTCACACAGCTGTGAGGAACTTGGATCAAACTTGGTTTATGCATGATGGTTGTCTATGTTATAATGTCGCCATCGCAAATAATAATTATATCTCCAATAGATTAATTGGGATTAATGGCGACCTTTTGAGACTTGCTAGATTTTCTGATTTCCTGACATGTCTAAACCAAAGTACCGTATATTATTAAATTAGGCATTCCAAACAAAATGGCTACCAGTGGGTTTTGACAGGTTATGATATGGCAAAATTATGGCAACCCTGTAGACCTGGTAATTTGACAAAGTCAATGAATTAGATAGTTACATAGATTGATCATCCCTATTTTTCAAAATAAACATAAGCTTATGCCTTGAAGTAAAAATGTAGGTAATTATTGTTTTACTATATTCAAAGGCTAAATATTGGTTTTTAAACACATTTTTGCAAAATCGATTCTGATTAATTAGCACTTGCGAGGCAATATGACCGCTTGCAAACGATCCGCTTTGAGCAATCTATATAACTATGTATGTATCATTGACCCTGTCAATGACAACAGGCTCACAGGGTTGCCATATCTAAATGTCAGTTCACACTTGTCAGCAATTTGAATGGTCGTTGGAATGTCTAATAACCGAAACACAGAGGTGTGTCAAAAACGCAACTGTCAACACAACAAAACAATTATTGCAAAAAATGTTGAATCCTTTTTAAAGAATTATGTTTGGTAATATAAGAATCACTGTAAAATAAATAAACCTTATTAAATCCATTTTATTTATGAATTATTATTATTATTTATTTAGACATAATTGTTACCATTGCCTTTGTGAAACATACATTTTTAAAAATTATTTAAGGTTATAGATAAAATAACTAATTTAAAAATAATTTGTGACTTTTACTCACTTATAAAATAAAATAAAAAACATGAAAAAAAATAATTTAATTAGTCCGCATCCCAGATTTGAACCCGCGCCTCTCCCATGGCCGCCAATTGTCACCTCCATCGAGACACTTTTAATTTTAATACTCATACTTAAATTTATTTCATATAGTTTGATTAAAATTTATGATTTATTTGTAAATATAGACGAAATAAAAATAGAAATGCTATTATTTATCGATTCTACACAAGAATAATTCATTTTTACATATATAACTAAAAAAATATACTGATAATTAGTTTCACAGATTTAAAATTTGAAAAATAATAGTAACCAAATGACCAAAATATGAACTGTGATTGATGGATTATTTTTGCAGTTTTCTTACTAGTTAGCATCGATATGAAATATTATCGTTCAGCTGAACGCAATGTCATACTTTTTCGTTTTGTACTCTGTACGTAGATAAGAATTGTCCATCTGGGTGTAGAAAAAATATATAATTCCTATGAGATAAGATCGGTTCATAAAAGTATAAAATCACGAAAATGCAATAAAACAAATAATACAAATAATATTCGGTGCACTCTCGCGACACAATATTTTTTTCCACTCAATTTATGATACTTACAAATAATATCTAAAACAAGTAAACAGTACCTCACGAATGCAGAAGAAAAACACGATAACTGTTTAAATCAATTGTCCCACATAATTTTATATAGACTGTTTTATTGTTTATTTAATAAATTTGTAAACAATGCCAGTTTACCAATCAATAAAAAGATAGCTTGAGTAACATTTCTACCATTGTCAGAATTGAATTGTTTACAAGTGATAGTAATATTTTTTTATTAATTTAATTGTGTGGTAAAATTATTAAGGTCAAATGCCAATCTGCATCTCGACTTTCACGGAGCATTTTAAAATAAAATTACGGATCCGGATTTTTTCACGGATATGATGACTAAATTACGTATTTTTTCTTGTTAATAGTTTAATTTATTAAAATTTAGTAAAAATATTGGTAGAAATCTACTAAAAAAATTATAGACTACGTAAAGTAAATGATTCCTGATGTGTCAGTAGTTATGATTTACACCACCCCAAACAATATTATCTACATATTATATTAGAAAACAACGAAAACAAATTTGAATAATAAATTAATATTTTTACAGAATTTTCCACAGTTGGCTAGTAAGTAGGCCAAGAGATGTCGCCAATATGAAAATGCAAAATATTACGTTTATTTTGTATTAAAATATACTGCATATTTTTCCCCTACTGATATATTAAATAATTGATAAAATCAACTAAAAAAAATAGAAATCCGCTAAATATGGTTATGATGGATATGATATGGGATCATCGTAAGTACAGAAATTGGTTGATACTTCCGGATTTTGGTGGGCCCACTCTCCTGTTTTAGTATCTAGTAATTTACACTTGTGGATTTGTTTTGGTTTAAACAGAAGATTAAAATCGTTGATTCTAGTTTTCAATTACAATTGACGAATTATAATAATCTATTAAGATTGAGTTGACCGACTGTAAATTTACTGATTTTGAACTAGTTTGTGAATGAACCAAAACAAGCCTTGCAACTTGGGCTGTCTTATTTACAATTTCAATGGTACAATAGTGAATATTTTGTTAATCAATCGACACATTTTACACACTTTGGGCGAGTTTAGGCTATTGTCGAATATTTTTCCATTTCTTTGTTTCCTACTTTTAGTTTGTAATGTAAATTTTTAGAATTTTATAAAAATCAATAAAAAAATTGAAGTAAAAATGTATTATTATATAAAATTTTTGAGCGCATTATCTACAACCAAATGTGTTCTTATTTTACCTCCATTAATTTAATTCCCTATAAACAAAGTGGCTTTAGGCGTGATTTCTCTACTGGAACAGCATTATCAGTTGTTACTGATGATCTATTAACGGCTCTAAATACAGGTCTTAACTCATCTTTAGTTTTATTAGATTTTTCTAAAGCTTTCGATACTATTAATCATGAATTAATTTGTGCTAAACTGAAATATTTTGGATTCTCTAATAAATTTTTGTTTCTCATTTGGTCTTATTTACTGGGTAGGTCACAAAAAATAAATGTTGAAGGAAAAAACCTCTACTAAAATTGACATTTTATCAGGAGTTCCACAAGGGTCAATATTAGGACCTCTCTTATTCATTATTTATACTATTGATATTATTAATTCAATTGATAAATGCAGTGTTCAAGTTTATGCTGACGATACACAAGTGTATTTACATTTCAGTCGCTGTAATGTTAATGATGCAGCTCAAATACTTAATTCTCGACTTCAAACTATTCAGGAATTATTAATCGAGCATGATTTGAAATTAAATTTAAATTTAAAAATCCATATATCTAATGAATTATTAGAAATAGCAGATAATGCTAGAGATTTAGGTATTATTATTCATAATGATCTTCGTTTTTGCGATCATATTAAAACTTAATAAGAAAGTCTTATACTTCCCTAAGATTATTATACAGGAATCGCCATTTTCTTAATATTATGTTGAAAACTCTACTCTGCGAGACACTTGTACTCAGTAACTTCAATCATTGTGACTATATTTTTTGGCCTTATTTATTACAGCGTGAAAAAAGAAGGATCCAGGTTTTACAAAATTCTTGTTGTAGATTCATATTTTCTATTAATGGCTAAATATGGAGAACCGTTTTAAACTCCATTTAGGAAATTTTGTGCATAAAATAGTCTATCAGTCGAAACCTTTAATTTAAAAAAATAAATTAATCCCTCACTCCTTTATCCACAGTAGAAATACTCGTTATAGCAATAAAAAATATCGTTCAGCCATGTTTCAGAAATCTTTCACTTACAATGCTATAAAATTATATAACTCTTTGCCAGATGCATTTAAAATTTTTAATATTAACAAATTTAAATATAAATATAAGAACTATCCTTTTGATAAACAGAAAATCTTTTTTTGAATTGCTGATTTGCCCATGGTATTTGATATTTAATAAGTGATATGTTTTAATAGGGGGACTATTTTTTCTATTTTTTCTTTGTTACTTTATTCTATAAATATTGTTTGATAATTATTATTACTTTGTCATTCTTATTTAATTATTCTCTTTTGTGTACAAACCATTATTTTATAAATTAATACTTTTTTATATTGTTGCATGCCTGTTGTGGTTGAGTAGGAGTAGCTTCAGCTAGACTTCGCCACAGCTGGCATGTGTAATTTAATTTATAACTGTTTTTTTGTATTGTATTTCTTAAATATTTTGAAATAAAGTCGTTTTATTATTATTATAATGACCGCCGCCTTTCTTTTTCAGAAGATGAAAAAACTTTGATAGATCCGCACGTGGTAATTTTAAGTTTTCCAAAATACTGCCGCTATAGGGCCATGATGAAACGCCTTGATGGCGTAGAAGACGTTTACCTCAAGTACAAAATCGTGAATGCGTTGGGCGGATTTTACGTTATTCATCCCAATACCAGGGTGCTCTTCTGCAGGGATACCTTCGATTATCCCGAATTGGAAGGTCACGAATTATTGTGCAATCATCTTGCGCCGAAATTAAAAGGCCGACCTCGTGGGAAGCGGAAAAAACGTAGCGTTTCCCCGGGATCTGAGAGCAATGAGTCTGAATCTTCAATTACCATTACTACGAAGGTAAGAATGCTGCTTGTCGTAATACTTTATTAGCAAATATACCGGTTAAAAGTATTATTAGGGTAGCTAATGCAAGCTGTCATAGTCATTCATCAATTATTGCAGGCCAAAGTACGACCTTGTTATTGTTTACTTTACAATGAGAAATTTTCATCCTCTCAATGCAGCTAATTAACCCGTAACTGGTATGGTACACTTTATGGGACGTCACTGGTAATGTGGGGTCAAGCAGAGCCCATCCTAAAACCCCAAAATACGAAACCTTATATTATCTCTTCGACTTCTAATTGATCAGTACTGTTTTATAGATGTAATATAACTCAGTATCTCTGAAATGAAACACCTTTTCACATAAAAAAGAATTTTTATTCAAAAACAAGAAAAAATAAAAATATCGGTTTCGAAAAAATCATGAAGCGTTTTGAGTTCATCTCATGGTAACAAACGAAACATAACACATTTCCAAATTTTTTAACTGAATGTTTACACTCAAGTTCAAATAAAAAAACAACTGGAACTACATTTCTTGAATCGGAAGCCAAAAACTACAAGTGGTTTTCTAAGCAATCACCGCAGGCACTTCGAGCGCAACTTCCACAAATTGGTAGGTGACAAACAGCGCATGCAACATTGGTTTTCTTGTCTTGCTTACGTGGACACTTGGCACACCTTACTCGCTTCTGTAGTTGAGATGTTTCCTCTTTTGGTGGCTCAGGAACATCATTTCCCAGAATGCAGAGAATGTTCTGTTTCAGAAGCCTGGGTAGATGTTTATTCTCAGCTCTTCTTTCCATATGTGGAACAACAAGTTTTTTATGAACTGATATCTTGAAATTTCGGGATTATCTCGTTTAGCAGAGAAAATAACAAAGGCATTCACCAAAGAAATATTTAGAATTTCATAAAAGACTGTGAGAGGCCATCACTTGAAAGGCCTGTTACACCCGTAGACAGTACATTTTTCATCCAACGCGTCGATTCCGCCTTTGGTGCAATTGTAAAATTGAATTATTTTCGGCTTCTTCTGGTCATCTTCACTCACAGTGGTTGTATGGTTCATCGAGAATATCAGGATAACAGCTTTTCCGATCTTGGGGACATACGATGTTAGAGTTACTTTGTTGGTAAATCCAAACATCGAAGAATGTGCAGGTCGAGTTATCGACGGCAAAAACTCTTTGGGTATCTCTTTTTTGTTTTTCTACGTAGGTCAGGTTTCTCCTCATGAGCTCATTCGCCAACTCCATTGACGAGAACCGGCTGTGACAATGTATCGCCATCACTGTCCTTTCCTGAATATATATATACGCATCCATAAGGTAATGTGTTCTTGCTCGTTCAGGCAGATAATTTTGATTCCATATTTCCGCGGTTTGTTGGCATATACATTCAAAACTTGCATCTGCCCCGAAATCTGACAAGCATCTCATCAATACAGATATTCACCAATCGAATAGTTTTTCTTGAGGTTATTCATGACTTTTTGAATAAGAATAAGAAATAGTAGCCGTACGGTTGTTTTTTTTTCCTTTCCTCCCTGGTGTCCTTGTCGTCAAACCTCAAAGCGCTTCTGCGACATGGTGCACCTGAATATCTCGCGTTCTGTCCCATTTATTGCAAAAATTGATGCCAAGTCTTCATTATTAGATTTGAAAATTGCTGAGAAAAATAAGAGATCCAAAAAAGCTCTCAGCTCCATGATATCAACGTCATCAGCCAAATATTTATTATTTATAGAGAATTTATCTCTCATATTTTGCAGCTTTTTATTTGTCTGCTGTACAATCTCAAGCAAAATCTCATCGGTAATGAGACAATTCCATGCATTTCCCAATAATCTTGCTGGTCCGATGGCACCCGGAACGTGAGATATGACATTGTGAATTCTTGTTCGAACATTATAGTAACCGGAGGTTTATCACTCCATTTGAATCTATTTCTACTGTAATATGATTTCGATCTTACCGTGCTGGATGTCATTGGCACCTCTGTCTCTTCGTCAGTTACATTTTTCCCTTCTTCCTGTTCGTTCTGATCCTCGCCATTTCGATCTTACCGTGCTGGATGTCATTGGCACCTCTGTCTCTTCGTCAGTTACATTTTCCCTTTTTTCCTGTTCGTTCTGATCCTCACCCTTTTATTCGTACGCTGCCATGCTCAGAGACAAAGTCCGGCTTCACATCGTCGTCCCGCTAAAATCACTCTCCAGTTCATTCAAAGTTTCAAGTGCCCATTCTTCAAACCGGGGGTCATCCGCCCGCATGCTTTTTCGATTTGAACTTGCCACTACAACGTTTGAAACAAGATGCTGGGTAAGAAAAAAATATAGCATTATTGATATGATGAGGTCTTACCGTCCCCAAACAACGGAACACTCCTGATAGTTTTCGTACATTGACAGATAAAGAGGGCAACAATACATTCCCCCACTCAAAACACATCGGCTGAAAGGTACTGAGACGGACAGCGCCACCTGGCAAAAATTCATTGAATTACGCGCAAAAAGAAAACTGCTGGGGTCCATAGGACTCCGCCATACCAGTTACGGGTTAAAATACAATATCTCGAAATTCTCTTTTATCTATTCCAAAGTTATTATATTATAGGCATATTTTATGTCATCTGCAAATTCGACCTTCCTTAGTTTTAATATTATGTAAGGATTCGGTTTTAGATACATCCTGTCTAAAATATCTGGAAATATAAAGAATAATTTCATCTTCCCGCATTTACAAAAAATTTATTATGTTCGTTTTTAGCAAAGTAACAGTATTTATTTAATTTTTTCCAAATCTAAAAAAATAGTTATTACATTCTTATCTACCTACATTATTTTTTATTGACTAATTAAATACCGATAAAATAAATAAGTTTTTGTTCGTCTTTTTTTTTTTTTTTTCACTTAATTTAGTATTAAATGTGCACACAACGATAAACGATATTGCTTTGTTTTTTAATATTGACATTTTTTATTTTTAAAATTTTAAATACTTGATATATAATTGACGTGAAAATTAATTGGAATTCTAGGTGGAAGGCAGAAATAGTCTGCAATTGAATCCTTCCGGAAATGTACCGCGGCGAAGCACGCGATGTCACGAAAATAATGAAAACAAAGAATTCGTAAGAAAACTTGGAGCTTTCATGAAATCTAATCGCACACCCATAGGAAGAATACCATCGTTAGGATATAAGGAACGTAAGTAATATTTCCTTATGGAAGCAATTTACATTATATTTAAAATAATATAGGTTGACCTTGATTGGCAATAATAAGAAATATTTTTAACAAAAAATGACGTAAGGTAAATGTACCTAAATCAGACAGTTTTAGCGGTTTTGCGGAAGTATTATATCGTCACCTGTGTGCCAAAACCACGAATGTGCATTTTATAAATTTTACAGGGGAGCAAATTAAAAAATAATATTTAATTCTTATTCTGTTTTTTATGAGAAAGTATTCGTTTAAGGTCGGTTTGCTAATAAATAATTTCAGCTTCTGATGCTTCTATTGAAAAAAAGGAAAATATGTTTTCTTCGTTTAAAAAACACATTCGTGAATTTCGCATAACAAATATTTTAGAAAAAAACAATTCGTGTTATAAAAATATCATTTTATGTTAAAAAAAAAAAAAATTAACTGACATTGTAGAAAAAACTAAAAATCTTCTTATTACTATCCATAGTCATCACTCTTCATCAAAGTTGGGTTCCGGTAACCTCTCTTTTTTGTTTGCGTTCGGCTTTAGACCTCTATAAAAATGATGGTGAATAGCAGGAATAGTGCCGTCTTTGCACATTTTCGCCAAATCTGCATATTTTGCATTCGTAATGGATAAACTATTTTGGTAAGTCTTTTCTGGCTGCTCTTTTTTTTTGGTGCTGTCCCTTGTTTCTTTTGAATTTTTGTTACAAAAAGGAGGGCTCTTTAAAACTAGTTTTAAAGAAAATCATGAGGGTTCATCTTCAGCATAATGAAGCCAGCAAATACTTCGCCATGGAACATTTAATTTCATTTTTGAAATTGAATACGACTAAAAATCAAAAAAGTCAATAAACATTAAGTTAATGACGTTGAAAGGTTTTGGATTTATGCGTGCGTCTCTTATTAGCTGTACCCATCCTTCAGGTATATACACAGGAACAAACTTTAATTTTTTTTCGATTTTGGAATGGATCGAATCGCATTCCATCTCTGTATGTCCTGTTTCAAAAAACTTGTGGTCTACTGTTTTAAGGGTTGGATGATTTACTACAACACAGTGATACATTGACGCAAAAATTGAATTTTTTTGTTACCCTCCTCAGCCGTCGGACATGACTTACATAAAGATGCAAGTGGATATTTCATTTGCCCCACGATTTCCTTGAGACTCGTCCCTTAAATAGCAAGAAACATCTTGATATCCCAGATTATAGATAGTTAAATTGTAAACAGTCAGTTTTCTGAGATAAAAAATTTTACCTGCTGGACCTTTGGGGGTACTAACTACTGACTGCAAATCAAAATTAAAATCTAAAACATCAGAGTTTTCCTGTGCTACATGCTTGTCATTATCTCTACACTTTCTAGCATCTTCCTTTCTTTCTAAATGCTTTTTATGAGGTAGTTCCTGTTCAGCTTTTTGATCTTGCGTTAAATTATCATTTCCTGCATTGATCTTTTTTGGGTTTAAAAAATCCCAGATTGTATTCTTAAAAAATATGCCTATATTTTACCATAGAAGCAGGTTTTTTATTTTCGGAGGCGCATTTATCCTTGTATAGCCTATACATGATTGAAATATTAAGTTGGGAATCCAAATAGCATTTTAAGCTTTTTTTTCCTGCAATAATGGAACTCAACAGACGGAAGGGATTTTATGTGGTTTCGTATGAAGGCAATATCCTCAGGAGATAATTTGATGTGTGGAACATGCTTTCCATGCTTGTCCGGTTCTAAAAATCCCGCCAAAGTTTTTTTATCTAAAGAACCTCTAACAAAGGCATCTGTTACATTTAAAGTGTTCATAAAAAATGGGCGGCATACAATCTGTTTTTCTCCATTAACCGTAAATGAATAGTAGTTTGTAAAACTCTTTCTGGACTCCGTAATATTTCTAGTTGTTCTTTTTTTAGTCTTTCGTTCAACATAAGTTAAAATGAACTGACGTTGTTTCTCTATATTCTCCAAGTTTCTGAAGTCATTATAAATAAATATTATCACATTTTCGGCCACCACAGTTGTGTTTCTTTCTATTAGCACAAGGAGCCGGTAACATTGGTCTAGCCGCATGAACTATGTTTCGAAATCCAATATGTTCCTGTCCCTTAAGACGTTTTTGCTTTTTTACGTTTTTTTTCCAAGTGGATTTAATTTTTCTTTTCTTTTTTGGAATAGTTGAAGTTGGACCTAAAAAAATATTCCTTCTGACATAAAAAAGGTGTAGGTGCATAAAAGTATGTTTAATTTGTAGAACTAGAGTAATTCACAAACTTAAATTTTAAACATACCTTTGTGATCGACATCGGTACCGCTAAAAGTCTGCAAATAATTTATTTGGACATTGTTCGAGGTCATCTGAATCTGAGGAATCTGATGATGGAACATAATCGGAAGAGTCCCCAGAATTTATTTCACTGTCTTCGTCTTGGGTGGATTCTGTAAATTTTATTTACATTTATTTTTACAATAAATTAACTATAATTTTATGAAATATTATTATCTGGCTTATTTAAAACTCTATTTATCACTTTTCTTGTTATTCCGGATGATGAAGGAATTTGATCAACTGCATCTGAGAAATTTAAGTAGAACTGTTAAAATGTTGAGCAAAATAGAAAAACTTACTTTCATTCTCGGTAATATGTTTCACCAATTGTAGTATTCTTTTAGTTCTGGCACTCATAATGTATACTAAATACTTTTTTAACAAATAAATAGGATTATTTTACAGTAACCCCCTACAAAACTCCTGTTTCTGGAAAGATATAACTTAACCTTAAAACATAATAAACAGTGTTAAATCGCGAATATTGGAAATCGGTAAAACCTGGAACACCAAAACCACGAATGCGGTACCTTCGTGGTTTTGTCATACCAATACTCGACGTATCTTCATGATACCGCGTTGCCGGCTTTATTCTTTAGAAAAGTACATTCGTGGTTTTAGAAGACTAAAATACGAAAAATTTTAAAGTTTTTTGTCTGGAAAATCAAAAATCAATAAATTTTCACATTCGTGGTTTAACATACAGGTGACGATATTATTTTTTTAAAGTTTTGTCTAGTTAAATATTATTTGCACGCTCAGTGATCTTTTAGAAATTACGTATTTATTTCACATTTCCTCAATTTTGAAGATAAAATAAAAAAAGTGAAATATTTCTATTCTTGGAATTTGTTTGTTAATGGAACTCAGCTTACCACTGGATATAACTCTCAGAATAAGAGATAAGTTAGATATTAATGCAACATCGATTCCAGTAATTTCAGCACTTAGTAGAGCATTGTTAAAAAATCATCTTTATTTATATTTGAAGGCTTCGCACCACAAATGTTGCAAGTTTGTGTAGAACAATTTTCAGTAATAATATTGCATACACCACCATCAATCATTGTTAATAACATTTCACAAGAAACGATGTAACTCTTATTATCCATTGCAATTTGGATGGGACTAACTGCTGAATAGCTTGCTCTATTTTAGTGTGTTCTTCTTTAACCACTGATGAAGATTCCTTAATAAAAGGGAATTTATTTGGTCGATAAAATAATGTCGAAGATGGTGTTGCATTTTACCAAATAACTTTTCCTCAACTTGGGTCAGTCAAACGGATAGGGACAAAAGCTATCAAAAACATGAATTCGTCACTTCTATAATCTGAAAATTATTGTTTATATGGGGAATGATCAAAGCTACCATCATAACTCCATTTAACTGTTAGTATCAAAGAAGAGTGTTTAAATCTTTCTTAACAATTTGTATATTGGTATTACTTACGAGTGAAAACGAAATACTTGCTTTTTGGATTTTTGTATACAGGTAGTCACACTGTGCGCCGTCGCAAAATGCTTATTTGATAGGTCTGTGAAGTTAGCACCGCCAAATCCGAATTTTTATAAAAATAAATTGCCATTCGATTGTCCACGATTTGTCCACGATTGTCCAACAAAAATTTTCGTTTGTCCACCCTACAAAAAAAAGTTATAGCAAATTTAAAAATTTGAGCCAAATTTCACAGCACCGCCATAAAAGCTTTTTGATAATTTCAAAGTGGTATTCGATTGTCCACGATTAGTCCACGTTTGTCCAACCAAAATTTTCGTTTGTCCACCCCCCAAAACCGAGATATTTACAAAAATAAAAAAATAATACTGGTAGTTTTTGGGGACAACCTTAATACATTTCATACGAATTAGACACGATAATCGTTTGTCCACACATTATTTTCGTTTGTCTAGGCCCAATTTTTATTTGTCCACCCTTCAAAAACAAATTATAGCATATTTAAAAATTTTAGTCAAATTTCACAGCACCGCCAAAAAAACTTTTTGACAATTTTAAAGTGGCATTCGATTGTCCACGATTAGTCCACGTTTGTCCAACCAAAATTTTCGTTTGTCCACCCCCCAAAACCGGGATATTTAAAAAATAAAAGAAATAATGCAGGTGGTCTTTGGGGACAACCTTAATTCATTTCATACGAATTAGACATGACAATCGTTTCTCCACACATTATTTTCGTTTGTCCAAGCGAAATTTTTGTTTGTCCACCCTTCAAAAACAAATTATAGCATATTTAAAAATTTGAGCCAAATTTCACAGCACCGCCATGAAAGCTTTTTGATAATGTCAAAGTGGCATTCGATTGTCTACGATTACTCCACGTTTGTCCAACCAAAATTTTCGTTTGTCTACCCCCCAAAAGCGGGATATTTAAAAAATAAAAGAAATAATGCAGGTGGTCTTTGGGGACAACCTTAATTCATTTCATACGAATTAGACATGACAATCGTTTGTCCACACATTATTTTCGTTTGTCCAAGCGAAATTTTTTTTGTCCACCCTTCAAAAACAAATTATAGCATATTTAAAAATTTTAGTCAAATTTCACAGCATTGCCAAAAAATTTTTTTAATAATTTCGATGTGGCATTCTATTGTCCACGATTAGTCCGCGTTTGTCCAACCAAAATTTTCGTTTGTCCACCCCCCAAAACCAGGATATTTAAAAAATAAAAGAAATAATGCAGGTGGTCTTTGGGGACAACCTTAATTCATTTCATACGAATTAGACATGACAAACGTTTGTCCACACATTATTTTCGTTTGTCCAAGCAAAATTTTTGTTTGTCCACTCTTCAAAAAAAAATTATAGCATATTTAAAAATTTGAGCCAAATTTCACAGCACCGCCAAGAAAGCTTTTTGATAATTTCAAAGTGGCATTCGATTGTCCACGATTAGTCCACGTTTGTCCAACCAAAATGTTAGTTTGTCCACCCCCCAAAACCGGGATGTTTACAAAATAAAAGAAATAATGCAGGTGGTCTTTGGGGACAACCTTAATACATTTCATACGAATTAGACACGACAATCGTTTGTCTACACATTATTTTCGTTTCTCCAAGCAAAATTTTTGTTTGTCCACTCTTCAAAAAAAAAATATAGCATATTTAAAAATTTGAGCCAAATTTCACAGCACCGCCATGAAAGCTTTTTGATAATTTCGATGTGGCATTCGATTGTCCACGATTAGTCCACGTTTGTCCAACCGAAATTTTCGTTTGTCCATCCCACAAAACCGGGATATTTACAAAATAAAAGAAATAATGCAATTGGTCTTTGAGGACAACCCTAATACATTTCATACGAATTAGACATAACAATAGTTTGTCCACACATTATTTTTGTTTGTCTAGGCTTTAATTTCGTTTTTCCAATCAAAAGAAATAAGTTGTTAACAAATAAAAAAATCAAACTATAAAAAATTATTAATATAAAAGTACTTCTAATGGCAGTTTATTAAAAATAACTATTGCAAACGTTTGTCTATACAATATTTTCATTTGTCCGAAGCAAATTTTCGTTGGGCCACCCTTTAAAAAAAATTATAGCAATTTTAAAAATTTGAGCCAAATTTCACAGTACCGCCATAAAAAATTTTTGTTAATGTCAAAGTGGCATTCGATTGTCCACACATTATTTTCGTTTTTCCAGGCTTTATTTTTAAAGGGTGGACGAACAAAAATTGGGCCTGGATAAACGAAAATAATGTATGGACAAACGATTGTTGTGTCTAATTCATATGAAATGTATGAAGGTTCTCCCCAAAGACCACCTGCATTATTTTTATTTTTTAAATATCCCGGTTTTGGGGGGGTGGACAATCGAAAATTTTGGTTGGACAAACGTGGACTAATCGTGGACAATCGAATGCCATTTTGAAATTATCAAAAAGCTTTTATGGCGGTGCTGTGAAATTTAGCTCAAATTTTTAAATATGCTATAATTTTTTTTTGAACGGTGGACAAACAAAAATTTTTCTTGGACAAATGAAAATAATGTGTGGACAAACGATTGTCATGTCTAATTTGTTTGAAATGAATTAAGGTTGTCCCCAAAGACCACCTGCATTATTTCTTTTATTTTTTAAATATCCCGGTTTTGGGGGGCGGACAAACGAAAATTTTGGTTGGACAAACGTGGACAAATCGTGGACAATCGAATGCCACATTGAAATTATCAAAAAGTTTTTTTGGCGGTGCTGAGAAATTTGACTAAAATTTTTAAATATGCTATAATTTGTTTTTGAAGGGTGCTCAAATAAAAATTGGGCCTGGACAAACGAAAATAATGTGTGGACAAACGATTGCCATGTCTAATTCGTATGAAATGTATTAAGGTTGTCCCCAAAGACCACCAGTATTATTTTTTATTTTTGTAAATATCTCGGTTTTAGGGGGGTGGACAAACAAAAATTTTGGTTTGACAAACGATTAGTCATCGTCTACAATCGAATACCACTTTGAAATTATCAAAAAGCTTTTATGGCGGTGCTGTGAAATTTGGCTCAAATTTTTAAATTTGTTATAACTTTTTTTTGAAGGGTGGACAAACGAAAATTTTTGTTGGACAATCGTGGACAAGTGAATGGCAATTTATTTTTATAAAAATTCGGATTTGGCGGTGCTAACTTCACGGACCTTTATTTGATTGCTATCAAGACATGTCGAATGAGTTATCTAATCAAACTTTTTAGCCTATTTTTTTACAATTATAAGTAGTCTGACGTCTGGTTTGCAGGGGTTTTAAACTAAATCCTTGCAGATTACACTTCCTGATGATCCCGCCCACTACTTCACAAAATTCCAGCCGGAGATACCATCGTACCGCTAGCTTTTAGTCTACACCCATTTACTTATTTCTCTTATAAATTTGAATTATTTTTTTTTCAGTGAATCTTTATGAATTTTTCTCAAGAGTACAAAAATTAGGCGGTTACGACTCTGTAAGCTCGAACCGTTTGTGGAAATCAATATTTGATGAAATGAGTGGTCATCAAAATAGTACAAGTGCAGCTACAGTTATAAGACGTCATTATGAAAGGTAAGCTAAAATGAATATTTTTTATTACAATAATTCGCCGTTTTCGAGATAAATTTATTAAAAAAAATAATATAACAAAAAATAATAAGGGGAGATTTTGAAAATTTGATATCTTTATTTATTTTAGAATAATTATTAAACTAACAAAAAATAACTAGAGTAAGAATTATAATTATTGTGAAACGTTTGTGTTACTGCGATTACGCCTTATGAATATAATTGAGCGAGGTGGCTCTGCGGTAACACATCTCCCTCGGATTCAGAAGGTCGTTGGTTCGAGCCCTACTGCCGCATGGCCTGCTATGATTTTTTCAGAAAATTTCTTATGTCAATAAGCAAATTCCGGGTCAGTAAAATCCTCTCAGATACTTACCGCCATTCTTTCAACCTCATCCCCTCATACTCAATCTCACCATGTGACTGAAGAGAGGCTAAGCAAACATATAGCGGCCCGCTTCCAAAGGGGAGAATAAAATACGCATCCTTTACCTTTTTTATGAGTGGCGGCTCGCTAGATGACGCAGGTGACGCGCTGCTTAACCAAAATTTCAGTAGAAATTAATAAAAAAAATCAACTGAATAGCTAAATATTTCTTTTTCTGTAACAAAATACCCTGCATTTTTGTCTCTATACAAATTACAAAACAAAAAACTCCAAAACTGTACCTAATTTCGGGGTATCTGGACCACTGTATGAAACAAATGAGGCGCTTGATAAAAAATATCCGACTGTCCAGGCTCGCTATGCATAAGACCGCCGAAAACGCGTCTCTTCTATCGGCGCGTTTATGATGGTTGCCATGGTAACGGCACGTTTCGAACTAGCCGATTAATGCACTTGACGCGTTGATTCAGTTTGCTTCTTCCGGTCTGGACTACTTTCATACAGTGGTTGGACTGATTGATCAATTGCTAACATTGCGAGTTTTTTTTGATTTTTCTAACAATGTTTCCAGTACATGATCCAGTATGTACGCTATTGGAGATGCCATTCTGTAGATGGGGAAGTGAGGAAAAAAAGACTTTTTAAATTCGCCAAAACCTGAACCTCTACTAAATGTAAGCAAAAAAAACTAAGTCAAGAGACAAAGTGTTTGTGCGAAAATTTCGGATAGAGTGGTATTCCGAATGTAATTGGTTGTGTGGAGTAAAGACGGTTTTAGTGATTTTAGGAACGTAATTCGCGGCCTACATAAACATGAATCATGCATTAAGATTTATAGAACTAAAATAGTATATTATGCAACGATCATGTAATAACCATTACATGAGAGTTGCATACGCTATTTTTTCTACACCCGATAAATAATCAAGACCTATAAATATTCTATTTATATTGGTATTGAACACAATAACAGTAATTACTCGTATTTCTATAAAAAATTCTACAAAATTGTAATTAATGGTATTACCTTGGGTACTGGTATTACCACAGATTTTTGGGGCAAAATATTTTGTACTGCATTTTCTCCTTTCTCCTATATGTGTGGAGGAGTGTTCTATATCGCTGATATCAGACATTTTAATATTATAATTATCGAAGTTTAGCTATCTACGAAAATTTAATACGTTTTGACAACTAAAACAATTACATAGGAATTTAGGACAAACGTCAAACATCATGCTTGATTGAAAAATTGTAGGTTTCTATTGATTAAAAATCTGTATCATAATGAAAAATCTGTATCATAATGGGTATCATTATGAAACGGATTATGGGCATATAAGTGCATTATTATAATACGGGTGTAGAAAATAGTATATTATGCAACGATCATGTAATGATGGTTATTAATACACGAGCATTAACCGGGATACGAAACGAGCCAAAGGCGAGTTTCGTATGGTTTATGCGAGTGTATTAATAACCATTACATGAGAGTTGCATACGCTATTTTTTCTACACCCGATAAATAATCAAGAACTATAAATATTATATTCATATTGGTATTGAACACAATAACAATAATTACTCGTGTATTTCTATAAAAAATTCTACAAAATTGTAATTAATGGTATTACTTCGGGTATTGGTATTTCCCTAGATTTTTGCGGCAAAATATTTTGTACTGTATTTTCTGCTTTCTCCGATATGTGTGGAGGAGTCTTCTATATCGCTGATATCAGACATTTTAATATTATAATTAACGAAGTTTAGTTATCTACCAAAATTTAATACGTTTTGACAACTAAAACAAATACATAGGAACCTAGGACAAACGTCAAACAGCATGCTTGATTGAAAAATTGTAGGTTTCTATTGATTAAAAATCTGTATCGTAATGAAAAATCTGTATCGTAATGAAAAATCTGTATCGTAATGAAAAATCTGTATCGTAATGAAAAATCTGTATCATAATGGGTATCATTATGAAACGGATTATGGGCATATAAGTGCATTATTATAATACGGGTGTAGAAAAAAAATTAAATACAATTTATAATATTAAAAAAATTGAAGTTATCAACGACGAATAACTACTAGACTAATTTTGTTTACAAAAATCGAGTTGCAAACATTCACAGTGTCATGCATGTAGTTGTCAAATTATTATGAGAATATTGGAGAGTATTGTTACATGGATTGTTTATGCTTATAAATTGGTATTGACTAAAAATTAGGCCCTAAAGCGCACAAAAGGCTTTAAAAATTACATTAGGGAAATATATTTGCATTCCTAATGCATATTTTCTTGTTGCAACTAATATAGTTGTATAGTGTTTCTCAGGATAGTACGCAATTCATTTTTGAGTGCGACAGCGAAGTAAAGCAAGCGTAGTAGACGTAAATACTGATTCATTCATAAAACGCATGCTCGCTTCTCAGATAAATATACTCGCACAAACCAGCCCCACTCAAATTAGCAGCTGTCTCGTTCTTTCCAATGTGGCAGCCGATGCTCTGTTTACATAATAATAAACACAATCGATTGCAATAAAAAAGGCTTAATTATTAATGAATGGATTAGTCTAGAAGTTTTTCGTCGTTGGAAGTTATAAAGGATGTCCCAATAAGAACGCACATTTTAATTGTGAAATAAATGTCATAATTTATTTTAAACTAAGTGTTATTTATACGTTAATTTAAAGTTAATACACTGCAATCAAACGTGAAAAATAACATCTGGCAAATGGCCGCCCCGACTTTGGTGATAGACTCTTATTCTTTTCAAGAAATGTTCAATCACATTTTCACACAATTCTGGCCCAATTTCGCCAATAACCCTTTTAATTTCGTTCTTCAACTGTGGAGTTATTGTTGGTTTATTAGCGTATACGAGGGATTTTAAAGAACCCCAAAGAAATAAATCACAAGGCGTTAAATCGCCATTACGTGAGACGACACGACCTGGAAACTTTCTTTGCAACAACTGAATTGCTTTGCGTGTAGTGTGACATGCTATAAGAAATGAGAAAAAGGCCTATCTAGAATACTGTATAAATAAATCCAAAGGTAATGGTAAAATTTTTTTGGAAAAAAATTAAAGAATTTAATATATCTGCGAAATATCCCATGAATTCGATTCCTATTAACCTTAATAAGCCAGATGAAATTAATAATCATTTTTTAGGTCCGTCGGCACGTAATAAAGAACCAGACACTGATCTAATTGAATTCTATAGTAATAACCTAAAGGATAATTTATGTTCTATATTTTCATTCAGTGTTGTCAGTACTCCAGTCGTATATAAGTATTTGGTCGAAATAAAGTCTGTAGCTTCGGGAGCGGATCAGTTAAATATTCACATGCTACTTCTTTGCTGTCCTGAAATTTTACCTATAATTACACATATCATAAATGTTTGCCTCACCGATTGCATCTTTCCGGAATCTTGGAAGCTATCAAAAGTCTTTCCCTTGCCCAAGAAAAAGAACGTTACTAGTGTGAACGATTTGCGTCCCATCTCTATCCTACCAGTGTTATCCAAAGTGATTGAAAAAAATCATGAAATTTCAAATAAATATTAATTTAAAAAATAATCAAATACTTCCACTGCGACAGTCAGGTTTTCGTTCTGGCTATAGTTGTGCTACAGCTTTACTGGATGTCACTGATGATCTCTTCAGGGATATTGATGTCAAAAAAACGGCAGCACTTGTTATGCTAGATTATTCCAAAGCATTTGATACTATTAATCATAAAATTTTACTCTCAATATTACATTTTATTGGTTGCTCTAATGATGTTATCAGACTTTTTAATAGCTACCTGTATAACAGGAAACAATTTGTGGTTACTGATGCAGGTTCATCAAATACTAAGCAGATTTCCTGTGGAGTTCCTCAGGGATCAATACTTGGGCCATTATTATTTTCACTATATACCTCCAACTTTGAGAATAGCATTAGGAATGGTAAGCCATTTTTTTATGCTGACGATACTCAAGTTAAATTTTCTTTTAATCATAATGATTCCTTAGAAGCTAATAATCGTATTAATGAAGATCTTGACAGACAAGTTAAACTTTCAAATATTCATCAACTTAATATTAATCCAGCTAAGAGTGTAGTAATGTTATTTGGTAAATACCGACATCAACTACAAAATGAAATGCAGATTCTAGTTGATGGGAATATTTTATCATTTTCCACATCTGCTCGCAATTTAGGTTTAGTAATTGATAATGACTTGAGGTTTAAACTTCACGCTAACAAGTGCATCCAAACAGCATACATGAATTTAAAAATGCTTTACCCACATCGACATGTTCTTCCAACTACAACAAAATTGTTATTAACAGATTCCCTGGTTCTGAGTAATTTTAACTTTTGTGATTCAGTTTATGGGCCCTGTTTAGATAACGCAGACATAATTAGAATTCAGAGAGTACAGAAATCTTGTTTAAGATTTTCTTATGGAATACGGAAATTTGATAGAGTCTCTCATAAACTCAAGGATTCAAACTGGCTAGATATGCAATCCAGACGAAACTTACACTCGGCTAATTTGTTTCATTCTGTTATTTTACATAAATCCCCTCCATATCTTTTTAATAAAATAATGTATCGTTCTGATGTTCATAACCTCAATCTACGTTTTTGTGGTCGTATCTCACCTCCAATACATAATACTGCTATTTTCAGACGGTCTTTCACTTATAATATTTATGCAATGTACAAGGTTATCCCACAACATTTTAAAGAAATGTCTGCAAGTAAATTTAAAAAATTTTACAAAAAGTTTCTTCTTGACACAGCAGAGTGATAGTTACTTTTTAGAATGTTTATACTTTTTTTTCTCACTATCATTTGTGTTTATTTTTATATTGTTTTTTGTACGATGTCCTGTGGCGTTGGTAATACTCAGGGCTGGTGCTTTGATTAGTATCCACTGTTCACCAGTCCTTTTTGCAGCCTTCTTTGGCACTTTTTTTTTCTGAATATTTTTTATATGTATAAAAAACTGGAAGTTGCAAATAAAGTTTATTATTATTATTATTATTATTATTATTATTATTATTATTATACATGTCGCACCATCCTGTTGATACCACATAGCTTCCGTATCCATACCATCCAGTTGACAAAAACTCAGTGATCATGTTACGATAGCCTTCGCTGTTCACAGTAACTGCATTTTCTGTCTCGTCCTCAAATAAGTATGGTCCAATCACTCCACCTACCCAAATTGCGCACCAAACAGTGACTTTTAATGGATGCATTTTCTTCTCGTGAATAAGGATTTTCTTCATCCCAAATCCGGCAATTTTGTTTATTAAGAAAGCCATTAAGGTAAAAGTGTGCCTTATCGCTAAAAAGAATATTCTTCAAAAAATCGACATTCATTTGTTGGTTTTGCAATATCCAAGAAGAAAATGTACAGCGTGTCGCATGATCCAATGGCTTCAATTCTTGGGTCAATTGAATCTTATAAGCATGGAAATGAAGATCTTTTGTGAGCATTCGATGGGTAGTGCTCTTTGAAATGTACAACTGCTGTGAACGATGATGGATAGATGTTTCCGGATTCTCGCGAACACTTTCATGCACTGTGGCAATGTTTTCAACAGAGCGGCTACTATAGAGAAAGTAAAAGTTGAAAAGTGTTTTGGTAGGTAGAGAGGGGGTAAACGTCAAACCACGTCGGGCGGCTCCGAGAATTTCACAGTAATGTTTACCTGCCAGTGTCGTTTCATAGAATAAGTAATTTTAAATTGTTATCGGCGGAACCGGACAATCGCATGTATTTATGGATTATAAATAATTATTAAACATGTATTATAATATTCAAATTATAATTTTACAAAATTTCAACAGCTATTCACAATTTATTAAACTATTTACTCGAAATTGTTATTAACATCTATAAAATAATTTTGTACGCCAATGTATCGCGTCCACTTCGGTGAGATCCGCTGCCAGCCTGTCAATTTATGTGTATAAAGTGGGAGAACTGGCAAAAGCATTTCCAACTTTTACTTCTGTTCTACAGTGACGCACTGGTGTTTTCACGTCCACGACAGAACCATTTTGCTCAAATTAGTTAAGTAGTCTTTGAGCGGTTGTGTGATTTGGCGCATTGTGTCGACCAAAAATGCCACGCAATTTACGAACTGTTTCCGTATAACTTTCTCCATACTTGTAGTGTGTTTTAACAATAATAATTCGTTGTTCGACCGTATATAGTTCCATGGCTACTAATCTTATCATTTGTTTTTTGGCCTACTGCGAATACAGTAAAAGTGCCGCGCAATTCAAAATGTGCGTTCCTATTGGGACGCCCATTATATTAATATTGAAATTTTTTTTATAATTATAGATTCTTATTGCCGTACGAACGTCATATGCGAGGAGAAGAATACAAGCCATTACCAGTTTCGGAGAGAAGAAGATTGAAATACAAACGAGGCAGCACGAGTATAAGTGATGCCGAATCAAGTAGTGATAGTGCTTCGATACCATCAACGTCGAGAAAGTCTTCCGTTTCTGGAAACTCAATTGAAATTAAGGTAAAATATTTATTATTTTTTAAATGGATCAAGTAAACGGAAAATCACATATTATGATTTTTCTAAAATGGTTCGTAATGGAGAAATTTGAGGAAATGTGCAAAATTTGTTTTTCTCAGTCTTTACGTTTAATATGAAATAATGTTTTGAATATAAGTCATGTATCTAAACATTTTGCAGGAATATTTGCAGTTTTTCTGAAATTTCTCCATTACGGTTCACTTAAGAGAAATTATGTATATGATCAAAATCATAAACAACTTTTGCTAAAAGAATATTCTTCTATAATCATAAGTAACATAAATGTACCTTAAGGTAGACAAAAAGTACTATTAAAAGCTAGCGATCACCTTATGATATGCAACCCTTGTATTTTATTTCTCTATCAATAATTATCCATTAAAATTGTATTTTGATTAAAAAACAGATAGATTAAGAAATTATAGAGTCGGTTCTTAGACTGTCAGTAATTTTTGTTGGTTCATTTTAACACCACCTTTGAAGTACTTCCATGACAATTTTTGGATCGCCAGTAGCTATATATTATGACCCCATTATCAAACAATACAAAGTGGTCTTTAATTACCGTTTCATAACATAATGGTTTCGAAATATTACAATCTAATAAAATACCGATTTTTTTGTTGTTGTCTTTAATAAACGTTTTTATTTGGAGTATCATTATTGTTCTCGACTTTTATCTGTTAATTTATAATCAGTGGAAGTAATTTAAATTGCCTATGAAATATCATTAATAATAATTACACCGTGAATAATACTAAATTTTTAAATTTATAATTTCTGATATTACTTTTTATTTTCAGGACCCTGTGAAACCCGAAGCAAAAACGTCATCTTTAAGAAGCGTTCGCGTAAAACCCGATCGGCAGAAGGACAAGCAGCTTCAAAGTGAAAAGGACAACGTTGTTACAAATAACAACAATAACAACAATGAAAACTGGCAATCTCCGCTTAAAACTAGCGATATCAACGATTTTAAATCAACCGTAGAAAAACTCGTAATCAAAACTGAAAGCATGACCGTCAAAACAGAATTGTCCACCGTAATTACCCAAACTCATCCTGTTAAAATAGAATACCAAACCGTTAAAAGTGTTAAAAGTGAGAGCGATGATAATAAAAATGCCGAAATTACGTACGAAAATAAAAATATTCCAGTCACAATATCGGTGAAAATCGAGACCAATTTAACGACTGAAACAAATCCAGTTAAACTCGAAGACAGTTCAATCAAAATTGAAAACACGTCAGTACCTGTAAAAACAGAACTGGAAACTAAGGAAATGAAGATTGAAATGATTCCGATTCCGATCAAAACGGAACCAGACACTTCAGCTGTCACACCGGTAGCTATTAAAGTACCGGTGAGTGAAGTAATGTCACCCGTAGAGGGTAAAGAGAATATTCCATTGATCAAATCATCGGAAAACAATCTTGAAATCATAGAAGTACCATACAGGCCGAAACCTATCGAAACTATTGATCTCGATAACGAAACTTATAGAAATAATTTTATTCATGAAATAAAGAAGAGGAAATTAGATATTTTGAAGGAAGGAGGCTTAGAAGTAACCCCTGTAAGGTCTGCACCGAGTAAAGATGGTCGGCCGTCGGTTATTCAACATATAACGCCGCCTATTCATTTCGTACCCAAACCCGTTAAACCTGAAGCAATGCCGCCACCTACTAGTGTAATTCCATTGAAACGAACCCACATAACAGTTCCTCAGACTTTAGTGAATATAACACCGACTACTCCAACTAAAAAACCTTCGACTTCCTTTCCATTCGTTAACGGTACTCCACCGAAAGTCGTGCAATCTAGATCGATCTATTCTTATTCGGAAAAAACTGTTTACGGTAATCCTAAAGACATTTTGAGTCCAATGGTTCACGCGCCTAAATTCGCGAATTCTCCTTCTAGACTAACAACAGGTGGAGACCCGGTGGATTTATCTGTGAACAGTCCGCAAAAACCTGTTGTGGAAATAATGCGAATGCCTCAATCTTCGTCTAGTTCCAGCTACAATCGCGATAGTGTTACGAAAAACTTGTATAAAACCAATTCTTCCATCATGGATGGGAGACGATTGGGTCCAAATTTAGAAATAACCCTCGTAGGACCAAATAAGAACTACCCAAATACGCAGAAAATGTACCAACCATCTTCTTCATCTCATATCCAGCATGCTTCAGCTCAAAAACGACTTTCTGCAGACTATTTTACACCATCTTCGAAAATAACGAAAGAAGAAAATGGTAAATACAAATCCAACAAGCAAAATATCGAGATGAATATGTTTGTGAACTCTTCGACCAGTCGACAGAACCAACCGAATTTGAAAAACTTTTCTAATCCAAACTTAACGGCTTTCCCGCCGTATTTGACGCAGCTGTACGAGCAAGCGAGTAAGAGTTTGCCGCCTTATTTGCCTTTTATTGATCCTACGATGTATTACACTGCCGCCATGCAGAATTTGTATTCGAATAATAGTTTAAATTCCGCGCCGATTTTACCGATTCCTACTGCCGAACAACTCAAATTGTACGCGGAGTTGATGGCGCACGGTAGAATGCCGTATCCGTTTCAGTTGCAACAAGATAATAATAAAATGAAAAAGCCTTAAAGCGTTATTAAATTATTTAATAAGTAACAGTTGTAGGCAGAGCTGGGCAAAGCACTCGAAAAAAGTACTTCAAGCCCTTTGAAAAAGTAATTAAAAGCATCAAGATCCAAGCGCTTTAGAAATTTTGAGTGTTTGCAATTACCAAGTGGCGAGAAAAGTAATTGCATGATTTAATTACCAAGCACCAGTTACTCAAAACCTTAACTGCAAAATTATTAATGACGAAATGTCTTTTTGACCAGTGTACTCTTATTGATTTTTATCGCTGTTGTAAGTAGTTGTCATAATTGTAATTTTAGTGCAAAAATGGCAAATATAGTATATTTAATTTTTTTCTCGAATCTATTATTTATTATTAATTTTATTGTACTAGCATTATCTATGTACAAAGTTGGTCGAATGTTTGAAGAACTTCCTCCGATTTCTTTTAACAATCTATGAAGCCATATTAATTCTTTTGTAGCTGCACTAGCGGCTATGTACGCTGCTTCTGTGGTCGAAAGAGAGGTACTTTTCTGCTTCTGAGTAAACCACGTTATAGCAGAGTCTGAAAACTTTGCAACCACACCAGTTCGTGAACGTCTAGTTTCCGGATCACCTCCGTAATCTGCATCACTAAAGATATATAGAACATTCGATAAAAAAGTTCGAAGGCAATGTACTACCTCAGACTTTGTTTTAATGAAGAACACCCTACGAAATTTTGAGAAGTTATCCTTGAAAACAACATAGTACTTAGCTCCACCCAAAGATACCTCTTGCATGGGGGCCCGCAAACGTCTGCATAAATCAGATCACCTGCCTTTGTAGGTCGAGACATACGATTTTTGAATGGCAACCTATGCTGTTTACCCAAAATGCACCCTTCACAGTAATCATCAGCATTTTCGTGAACTATTTGTATATCATGTCTTTTCAAAATTTCCTTAATATGCTTTTTATTTTGGTGGCAAAGCCTTTCGTGCCATAACTGAATATTGCCAAAGACGAAGCTACACATAAAACTGCAGGAACTGAGGCAACACAAGCTTTCATGTCTAAAACATACAGTCCCTTCGAAGCTCGTCTTCCAGATATTCTTGTTAAACCGTCTTTCATAACTGCACATCCATTACAATCTGCTTGAAACTGAAAACCTTTACTAATGGTTTGTCCCACAGAAAACAAGTTTCTACCTACATCTGGAACGTACCATACGTTTTCAAGGTGGTTTTTCTGCCATCCGTTTAAGATTTTCATTTGGACATTGACTGATCCATGCCCAAATGCCAAAATAACATCACCATTTCCAACTTGTATTAGTTTTTGTGAAATAAATGGCTCATATGTATTAAAATAATTTATATTACTGGTCATGTGTGCCGATGATCCAGAATCAGCCAACCATTGCTCAGATTCAGAAATATTCTCATATTTATTTATCTCTACACATGGAAATGTGTCTCCATTTAATTTAGTAGTTTCTTTTAAGGATTTATTTGGATAATTCTTAGCAAAATGACCTATTCCGTGGCATTTATAACATTTTCTGACACGTTTTCGCCACTTTTTAATTTCCTTATTATGATTTGCAGTCTTTTTCATAACCAAAGCAGATGATGACTCTCCTTGTGAAGATTTTTCAGGTAACCTCATCTCTATCAAATACAGACGTTCAGTAAGCTTGCTGATATTTCTTTCATCAATTTGGATCGACTCCCAAACGGATTTAAATTCAAAATATACCGCTGGTGGTGTAGACATAACTCCACTCATTACCATTAAATCTGGTAGAACAGTCTTAAACTAATCTTTTTAATTCGTCATTGAGCTCCGTAAAATTTCTCTGAAGATGAAAAATGTGGGTAACTATATCGACACTAGGGTCTATTTGAAAAGTAAAAAATCTACATAAATAAACATGAATTTTTTTCATATGAACATAGGTGCAGAAATGCATAACTTTTTTTAAAATCCGTTTTTTATAAATATTAATAGCATTTACCAAATTTTGTTAAAATTTGGCAGTGTTGTTTAAAATAATAAGGGGCCAATTTAGCCCCAACAATATAAAAATTATTAATTTCAATGGGGTCCCAAACAACGTATAAATGTTGAACTTATAAGGTTGTGACTGAAAAAACCAAAATAATTTGAACAGGAAATACGAAGTTTTTATTTGGAAATCACTACAGCAAAAATATATCCAAAACCAGACTGACTTTTTATATAAACTCAAAACTGACAATACCCATTTCATATACAGTATGTCTAAAATAATAATACAAATCAAATGTAATTTTTCAACTTCAACAATAAATAACACTGTCAAATTTTAACAAAATCGAGTAAAGGATATTAGTGAAATTTATAGAAAACTGATTAAAAAAGTTAACACCTTGTATCTTGAAGTATCTTGAAGTATCTTGTGTAGAATCACCTCTAAAATTATTGGAACTGAATTTCCGGATACCCATGTTCACATATTTGAAAAAAATTTTTTTTCTTATATTAGCTATTTTTGCATGGTTTTTCAAACTTTGGACTAAAATGATTATGACAACCATTTACAGCAGTGACCATTCAATAAGAGTAGTGTTCAAAAATACATTTTGTCGTTAACACTTTATTCACAAAATTTCGCAATGAGACTATAAGAAATTTGTATTTAAATGAAAAACAACAAACTAAATACAAAAAGCAGTAATAATTCATAAGCAAGCACTTAATCTAATTGTACTTGCAAGTCCTTCAGTGCTTGCAAGCTCTTTTGAGTACTTTCAATCACTTTAAATGGCTTGAAATGTGATGTTCAATTACCAAGCACTGTTTATAAATAACTTCAATTACCGAACACTGTATTTTAAAAGTGCTCGAAGCATTATTGTGCTTCAAGTACTTTTCGAGGCAATTACTGCCCAGCTCTGGTTGTAGATGGGTTCATGGTTCGGTATAATAATAAACATTATTATCTCAGTCAAATAGGGATTCAATCTTGGAATGAAAGATAAGCTGTAAATATGTATAAATCTATTTTTTGACGTTTTTTAAGTTATCCCAAAAGTCTCATAGAATCTCGTGTACGCAAGTCAAAATATTTATGGTCATAGGCCACAAAAATAGTTTTTATAAAAATCTCGTTTCTATGCTCCAAATCGCATTTGGATTTATTTGAAAAGTTGTAGAGCAGAAAATTTTCTATAACTTTTGTTTCAAATAATGTTTTATATATGTTCAACCATTCTTGAGTTAGAGTTCAACGTCAACTGTGGAATTCAACAAAAAATATGAGGTGGAATTCCGTTTCACAATTCGACTCGAATTTGTTATCAAAATTCATAATAGCAATTCTGTTTAACGAAATTCGACAATAAACACGATTATGTATGAATTGTAAAAATGTCCTGTAAATATAATATTTCACAGTAATATTTCTGAAATAAAAATTTGACATCTTTCAGAAATAAATGAACTCCAGTTTTGTTTCATATTATGAAACGTTATAGAAACGTTTCTAAAATATTTCTGGAATACCAATGCAAAATGAATGCTATATTATACTGTAATATTTTTATTAGACTAACAAAAGACATTTGAAAATATAGATGTTTATTTAAAATACACAAAACAGAAAAATTGATTCTTAAACTAACAAATAATTTTTAAACATTATTTCATAAAATACAGGGTGTTAAAAAAAAGTGTCACAAAATAAAACGGGGGGTAGTATGGGCCAAAATATGCAGAAAAGTCTTAATAAACATATGTCCGCAAATGAATGGTTTCAGAGATACGGAGTGTTTTGTATCATTTTTTGATTATCTTTTTTCATTCTCAAAAACTTGCTTTTCTTATCGGAGTCTACCGATGTTTTTTCATAGATACTATTTGCAACTATTATTTTGTGGGTGAATAATTTTATAAATTTTCGTTATGCCTGTTTACACTAATATTGAATTAGCTGACATGCATTTTATGTACGGTCGTGCAAATGGCAATGCATTGAAATGGAGAGAGGGCACTTTGAACATCTCATTTAACTCTATGTTGTTATTGATTGTTTATAAATATCATTGTTTTTTTATAATAATAAAAAATTGTTATAAACACAAAATGGTCCGTATCTCCGAAACCGTTAATTAGCGGTCATATATTTATTAAGACTTTTCTGCTTATTTTGGGTCATACTATTCACCATTTCATTTTGTGACACTTTTTTTTAACACCCTGTATAAAGGCGGCTCGCTTCATTTCCACAAATTTTTTAAATGCACTAATCTAAAACAAATAATTTTAAATGCCCCAAGTAAAGAAATATTTACGATTATTACAATCTGATCATTAAGATCAATTAGCAATTTTATTCTAATCTAACTTATAAAGGGATGAAAAACTTCATAAACTAAAATTCTCTTCACTAGTATATCTTCTTAGAGTCTAATTATTTAGTTACACTAGCGTTAACGTATAACACTTAACGGTACTATACTCTGCTTAAACATCACTGAACTAACTAAAAAGGCTTGTTTATTTTGAGTCTTCTTGTTGGATTGGCATTGTTGAGGAGCTGGATAATCTCAAGGTTTCCATGTTGGAGCAGTCGTTGATGACTACTGGCAAATTTTTGTGTTGTATTTTCAACAGTCTCCACTTTAAGGTCCCTATGAACATCAGTATTATGGCAGTACCAGGGTGCGTCGACGATGTTACTTAATACTTTATTCTGCAAACGTTGAATAACTTCGATGTTACTTTTACTGGCACAGCTCCAAAGCTGGCGAATCGCTTCATTTTCACTAATTCCTTTAAATACACTAATCTGAAACAAATTATAGGTAATTAAAAAGGTCTATTAATATTGTTTTAAATTAACTATAATAAAACAAACAATATTTATGCCTACACATAACATACATCTCCACTTTTCAATCAGCTGTAGAACTATTAAATAAAACTGGTGGAGGGACAGCAAATGTAGGGTATATTTAAATAGAAATAAGACTTTAAAATGCCTATTAATTTGATAAACGAAATGGCGTAACTCATCTCGGAGAAGAGATAAAGTTAATAAACTTAACCTAAACAAGCATTGTAATACTCGCCTCAATTTCTAAAGACATATTCTGCCTATTCTGCTTCCCATATAACAACAGCACAACGCAAAAATAACAAAAGAAAAGGAAATGGCAAAAACCGACATTCAAATCTATAATTATTTAGAATAAAGGGTTGTCTCTGGCTGGACATAGGATGAAATAAAATAACTACATATCCCATCTTGATCTTCTTACAAATCAGAAATTCTTCATTAAGTGTTGGCTTTTTACAACATAACCCGTTTAGTAACCTTTTGTGTAACATGTATACCGTGTTTCAGAAACATTTTCAGTGAAATATTTAACTAAAATATTTCAGAAACTTGTGCTTGAAATGTTATGTTTGATACGTTTGAAATATTTCTGAAACAGTTCTAAAATAATGTATGCTGTATGGGGTAATACCCGTTTTTTGTTTTACTTTTAAATGTGAGGTCTGCATTTTTTATAAACCCTTCTTCATTGCCACCATGGAGAATTATGTGTCGAATCCCATCTCCTGTTTTTTTTACTTGCAGTAGCCATCTTGCCAACTTTTTCTGGCACTTCCTTTGCTATATACCCACGTCTCATTCATAAATACAGGCTTAAAGTTACTATCTCCCTGTTAAAATTTTTCAAAAACAACATTTTTTTTAACCGAATCGATGTTCGTTTCAATAAAAACTCTGTTGTTACTTCTTTTAGAGCAAAAGCCAATACTTCGAATCCATGTATTAATTGACCGTGCATCTTACAAGTTATACATTGCCTCAACTTACTTAATATTAAAGAATTGACTTTTGTTTTACTTTGGCTTACTTTTTTTAGTCATTATTTTCACATACTCTGTATCAGAATTTGTTGGTATACTAAGTCTATAGATAGTTTTCTGCGAAATATTTAATACCTCTGCAGCAATTTGATTGTACCTCTTTCCAAGAGCCTCGCAAATAGATTTGTGTTTCTTAAAATAGGAAACTACGTTTAGGATTAAAGTTTTTGATTGATCACTAGATCGTTTCACCATTTTGTTGAATACTTTTTGAAATATCAAAATATACAAATTTTTGGCAAATTCAAAATTATTTTGATAACTGCCACCTGACATAATAACATGATGTTTCATCCATTTTATATTTAAAAAATAAAGAAAGCGAATAGGCTTCTGGGGTATTTTCGAGACTTTACTAAAACTGCCAAATTTGATAAACTCGTCACATTGAATGGGATAAAGTAAATTAACTTAAACTACTTAACTTACGTAAAAGCTTTTTTTCTGTAGGAAACTTACTTCAATTTTAAAAGATATATTCTGCTTCCCGCCCAACGGGTCAAACAAGAAAAAAAGCAAATGGCAAAAACGAACAACCCAAATTTCCAAATATTTGAAATATAGGGTTGTCTCTGCTCTGGATATTAGGCATTCCAAACAAAATGGCTACCAGTGGGTTTTGACAGCTTATGATATGGCAACCCTGTAGGCCTGGTGATTTGAGAGGGTCAATGTAATAGATAGTTATATAGATTGTTTATCCATGTTTTTCAAAATAGGCATAAGCTTGTGCCTTAAAGTAAAAATGTAGGTAATTATTTTTATTTACAACCATATATGTAATGTTGTCATTACTAACGTCATTGAAGGTTGGGAAGTGTCACATTACACACCTCTACTTCCCGCCCTCACTCCCCGCCCTCATTTCATCTATTCTAGATGAATATTTTTTATATTTAAAAAATAACACATTTTTTTGACTAATTTTGTAATACCTATTTAATGGCAAACAATAAAAAACAACAATGAACTAAAATACAACAAACTACTTATTGATATTTATTATTCGCGAATTTAATATCCGGCTTTATCTGACATTTATTTATATTGGTGACAGTTGTTTACCCCGTAATCACAGTAACAATATATTTACTTATTATTCTGAGAAAACCGCGCACTTGGTAATTTTTCGTTAAATGTAATATTTTAGGTATGTTCAGAACGAAACAGAGATTTATTAACTTTGATCCAAATATGATGGTTGTAAATAAAATAGTATACAAGCCTCGGTAGGAAGTTTCATTCCTGTTTCGAGATCTTAGCTAACCTCGACGCTTCGCGTCTCGGTGATCTAACTAATCTCACGACAGGAATGAAACTCTTCCCACCTCGGTGTGTAATATACTATTTTTACTATATTCAAAGCCTGAAAATTGGTTTGTAAACACAATTTTTCTAAACCTTTTCTGTTTAATGAGCACTTGCCAGGCAATATGACCACTCGCAAACAATCCGCTTTGAGCAATCTATATAACTATATATGTATCATTGACCCTGTCACAGGGTTGCCATATCTAAACTGTCAGTTACAGCATTTTGACAGGTCGTTGGAATTCCTAATAAGAATACAACACAAAGACGCACTGATCTGATCAGTGCAATGACTATATGACCTATCTTCTTCTTACAAATGATAATTTTTTTCATTAAGCCTTGGCTTTTTACAACATAACCCCTTTTATATCATAACATGTTTCAGGAACATGTTTAGTAAAATTTTTAACTAATATATTTAATAAATATTTCAGAAGTTTATGCTTGAAAGGTTTGAAATATTTCTGAAACGCTTCTGAAATAATGTGTGATGTATGGGATTTATGAGATTTATAGATGAAGAAACACAGGAAAAACCTCACCCATAGCCATAAAAAATAAATAAAGAATTGAAGTCAAGGCTAAACATATACAATTATGTTTGTTGTTTAAAAGTCAGAGTAGTTCGAATGCTTCATTATTTTGTCGAAACAGATCGAGCTTTTCATAATGGGATCGAATTATGAATCGTATCAAGATCGATTTACTCGACACAAAACGGAATCCCACCCATGATTTATAATGTTAATTATTTACTAAACATTTTATTTTAAACATTTTCAAATATTTACTATAGGGTGTCCAAATTTGACCTTCGGTTTTATTTTAATTATAAAACACAGAAAACTCTTGAAATGTTATAATATTATTGTATTATTTTAAAGTTTAAATGTTACGGTTAATAATGAAAAATGATATCCGGCATGTGACCCCTCTGCTTCTTTAGCATGCTAACATTCTTTTTCCAAAATTTTTAATAACCTTTTCGCAAACATTCTGTTCAATTTCTTCAATTTTTTGAATAAGGTTAACTCGAAGCTGTTCAGGTATTTGGGGATTATTAGCACAAACTTTTCTGTTCAAAAAAACCCATAGGAAATAATCGAATGGTGTAAGGTCACACGACCTAGGCAAACAATTAACCTCGGCTCCTCGAGAAATTATTCGATTGCCAAATCTCTCCTAAAAGATAAAGTGTTCTATCCGATGTGTGGCAAGTAACACCGTCTTGTTAGAACCACATTTTTTGGAGATACATACCTTCTAATTCGTTCCACAAATAATTCTAATCATTGTCCCGTATCGCGCTCCATTCACAATTATCGCATCACCAGCTTCATTCTGGAAAAAATAAGGACCAATAACGCCACCAGACTAAAAACCACACCACACAGTCACATTTACTGGATACAGTCGTTTTTCCAATATTTTTCTTGGATTTTCTTCATCCCATATTCTGAGATTTCGCTGTTGAAATCTATTCATAAAACTCTCAATAACTTTAACAAATGGTGCTAAATTTCTTCCGAAATGCGTACGACATCTTCTTGCAGTTTTAGCAAAACATTTCCCATTTCGTTAATAACCATGGAGGAAAGATAATTAAGAATTGCAGATTCCACACATAAATTTGGCAACATGTTTGCCATCAGCGACATATTTTGTGCAACTAATACTCAGTCGGTAATACAGAAAGCTGTATATTTTAGTTTGAAAATTGGCGGGCTTTTGAATTTACTTCGACAAAATATAAGAATTTTACATTTTCACTAGCATTTTTTTAATGCCAATAAAAATGTAAAATTTTATATTAAATAATTTTAGAGGTGTAAAATGAGATATTTTAAATATATTTTAATAATTATATTTGGATTTACCAATTTAACTTATTACAATTAAAATCTAAATGTGAGGGGGATTTTTATCGTTTTTCTTCTTTGGTAGTTTGACTTCATTGTCGTCATCCTCCTCTGTTACGTTTGACTCTAAAGCTTCAAGCATTGCAGTCCTGATTTTCTGCAGCCGCAACTTGATCCACAACCTTTCTTACAATTGCAAAATATTGTATTGGTACTGGCGGTAATAATATTGTTATTTTGCAGTATCCACCTCCATTCCTAGGGTTCTAAATCATTCCCTAACCAAGTTTAGGTCTGATAATAGACAAGAGTGATATGTTGTCGAGCTGCTGCACTTGTAGGTGAAAGGGGTATTAATGTATTTTGAGATATAATGTAGGTACATAGTAATATAGGTATTCAAGAGTTTACTCTATTAAAAAAAAAAAATATTTATTTTTCTTCCTACTTAAAATATAATTTATGATATATACAATTATTATAAATATAAATTAAGTAAATATTATTAAGCGAATTTCATAATTAACAATATAAGTCATACTTATTTGCTGAATTCCACAGTTAACCTTGCATCATAATATGTACAATTAAGCGCCACTAACTCTTCGCTTTAACTCAAGAAAGGGTCGAATGTATAAAATAATGAGTATTATCTACTCTATTACTTTTCAAATAAATCCAAATGTTAAGCTCATAGGAAACGAAATAATAATAAAAAAATTATTTTTGCGTACACGAGATTTGATTAAACTTTTGAGCCAACTCATAAAATGTCAAAACAGATTTATACAAGTTTACGAGGTTTACCCCTTTTTAAACCTCATATGACTGTATTAATATTGGATTTAATGGTATTCAATTTTTTCCGATTTCTTAACGCTACCAGTTTCGAATAACCTAATTGTTTGTGGATTTACTGTCGATAAAAATTTGTTTGTGTGTAGAATATTGATCAGAGCTCGGAATAATATAATTGATGATGGTAAATTACGTCATGAACTATTAACATACGGGCTCTGGTTATTGGAGTGGCAGGCTTCAATTTTATCTGACACTTAAATGGAAAATTTAACCGCATTGCCGACACATTATTTCGTATTTACAATAATGACAATGATATTAACATTATTTAAAACATATCTAAACAACCAAATTAGGAGCAGCCACTAGTCATCAAATTCACAGTACTTCGGATTAAATTGAACACATGAAAATCCAATATGCCGATCACATCTCTAAACCAACCGTTTTTAAACAGCTGTTACTTAATAATACCTTACATTCTGCTGGTTGTTGTTCAGTAGTGATTTATTGAAAAATAGCTTCGCTAAATCTTTTAGCTTTTAGCTGACTTTTAAAACTTTTTTCTAGATAACATTCCACCTCATCACTTTCTTTATAAAACGACCAGTAATCAAATTAGTAGCTGATTTCTTTTATTAAATTATTTTGCCAAAATTCGAGTGACATCTTTTGCATTTTCAGATTCATTTAAAAAACAAAAAATGTTTGTTATTTATAAGCGCAATATATTGTAAATAAATAAAGTTGAAAATATGGAAGGGAAGATAAGCTTTCTTGGCGTGTTCTGTTATAATTAAAAGAATAACTACAACAAATAATAATAATAACGGTATTTATAAAATTTATTTCGAATAAATAAATTAATGTTATGTTACTCTGTTACACTCTTGTTTCTTGAATAAATATTTTTGTTATTTATAAAATTTGTTTAAAACAAACATAGTTTTAAGTTTTAAGTACATTACTGTTATTTAAAAATGTAAAAATATATCTTGGACACACCGAGAAAGCATTATCTGGAAATAACAAGTTTGAAAACAAAAAAATTAATAAATTATTATTAGTAAATATAAAAAAGTTCAATAATTCGAAATGGTTCATCTTCTGTTTTTAATGAATAAATAATTTAAAAAATATATTTTCGTTAAAATACAAAAATATTGTCCCCGTTTTTTAATTTTACTAAATTATAATTTTATTATAATTATTTAAAACTTAAAAATGAAGTCGAATGTATACTAATTAAATATATATACATTCGACTATAAATTGGGAAAATATATTTTTATTTCAAACTTGGATTTGAGTAAAAGCGACTTTTATAAATTGGTCAGGTTAAACCTGCAACCTTTATGAAAATTAAAACTATTCATTTTAATGTTTATGAAATTGTAGAAATTGTCATTTAACTTGCTTTTTATTCTATTTTATGAAATTCTCGTCTTTTTTGCTTAGGTTTATTGTAAAAATGTCATTTACTACGTGTTTTTTCTTGTAACAAATGATAAATGTTATTTTTAGGATTGTACATATAATGGCCAGATTTAAATTAGTGTCTGTGATTTTATTATATATAGATATACCAAATGGAGTTTTGTACATAAATATTAATTCCCTATTTTTTAGAATTAGTCAATTACTTTAGTTTTTTAAATGTATAAACTGTTAACTTTTATAATTAAGCATTGGTTTATTTTGTTGATATACCTTCAATTGCAAATATACAATTATTACATTGTAAATATGTTTTTTTTTTTAATGACAACCAACTTGGAATAAATTAGAAGGTGCTGTGGAAATTTGTAAAATCGAAAAGTTTTTTCATCAGGACTGAAATGTGTCCAATCGTCCCCCTTCGAACGTTTTTTAATAGAAATGCTAAAAATGAGTAGTCTCAGTTTTTTTTTATTAACTTTTTACGTCCTATTTCAATGCAAATTTGGGTACTTACAAAAGACAGCAAGCCTTTTACGTACGTATAGGTTGTAATTTCGTTAAATTAATGTCTAAATACGCACAAATACAGAGCTGTGTTAAATTTAGAATCCTATTTGCAGCTCATCTGTATCTTGAGGAGTTAAAGTTTTAAAAACTTTTTAGTTGGCAGGCAATACGGAATACACCAATGTGTAATGATGATTGCTATTATCACAAAAGCCATCTATTAGCCAATAGCTAACACGATATAGTTAGAACTATTCGCTAATAGTTAAAATAATATAGTTTTAGCTATTCGTCAATAGATATGGCTCTTGTAAATTCTGTCAGCCATATATAAACTGTTTTAATACAAAATGCTTTAAAATTAATGTTAATTTTTGATTTAGGAAATAAAAAAAAGAAGTGATTTATTAAGACGTTTATTTACAAAAAAATACATAATTTAAACATGAATAAATGCATAGAACATAGAAGTTACTTACACAATATTACACTTAAGTAGGTAGGTCAGTTTTTAAATTGCTTATTAGTCCTTGCAAAAGAAGTCTTGTAAAACTTTTAGTACTGACTTTGTTTAATAAAAGACAGTCTGACAACTTTTCAAACTATCTTAATCGATTCCTTGACCTTAAAAACGTATATTTTAGACACCTATATTTATGAGTATGACTGTCAAAGGGGTAGAAATATACCTATACAAAAAAATCGAAGTCGACCATTTGTACTTACTTTTTTCTGTTGGTGGGTCTAGCCAACACAGGTATATCTGCTTTTCCATCGAAATGATTTCAAATTACAAAATTTCAAAGTATATCAATCAATGAAACTTGTGTTACTAGCTCTCCAACTATTACTAACATTTTTGTGGGACTCCAGTACAAAAAGACAGAGGTCGGTAAAATAATCGATTAATCCATTACTTTTGATTAAATCGATTATTTACTAATAATCTATTTCGATTAATCGATTATTTTCGATTACATCGATTATTTTGATTAGTTGAATATTTTGATTAATCAAATATTTCGATTAATCGATTATTTCGATAAATCGTTCAATTCGATAAATCGATTAATTCGATAAATCGATTAATTCGATTAATCAATAATTTCGATTAGTCTATTAATTCGATTTATCGATTATTGTGATTAGTGGATTATTTTAATTAATCGATTAAACGATTATTTTGAGTATACAATTATTTTGATTAATCGATTATTTTGATGAATCGATTATTTATTTAATTGCCCAGTCCTAGTCTTTCCAACAAAATTTTTTATGTATTTAAAAAACAAGACAATTATATTATCCTATATTACAGTAAAGTCTAACAACACAAGCCTCTTAATCAGGGGCGCATATACGAGGGGGGCACTACTGAGGGTAATTACTCCCAAAAATGTTTAAACTTAACTATCATAGATATAGATGCGCCACTGCTTTTAATAATCTGAATCTTTGTATTTCGTGTATTATCAAATAATAGACATATATGTATCATAAAATATATAATACGAGTGGTATCAGAACTATTAATAATCGCATAAGCTAGTGCATAAAACATGTCAAAAATTTATTTGACAAACGCTGCGGCTGAATACATCAATTTATGAGATTATCAAAAGTTGTATTCAATAGATAATATCATGAATTTATAAAATTTGACACCCCAATAATTTACAGTACAAAAGCAGTGACAAAAAAGAAAAAAGATTTAGTTTAATTTTTCTACACCTAGATGGATATTAGATTATCTACGCACAGACTACAAAACGAAAACGTATGCTATTGCGTTAAACTGAACGAATATATTTCATATCTATTTTAGTTAGTGAGAACACTGCAAAAAATGAAATCAACTGAATGCCTGCTATTGCAGTATTAAGAAGAGCACATGAAGTCATTATTGTCTTTCACTATATTATTTAAATATATCACACAAAAAGTAAATAAAAACAGGAGAAAATCACATTAATCAAATCATAAAAATGATACAGCTGTTTGACGCAAGTGTCGGACTGATGCCGCTTTTGACCACGTGATCGTGGTCATGGCAGATTATTATGTCACGGCACTTGTCATGTGATTGTCCTACTAGGCATTTCAAACAAAATAGCTGTCGTGCACTAAAATGTCCAGTCTTGGTCACAGTAAATTTATTGATTAATAATAAATTTACGGTGACCAATACATTATTTTTGGTTGTATTTTGTCACATTTATGATAAAATTGATGATACTAATATATAGGAGTGAGGTTCATTGAAAATGTATAAGCAAGGCAAAAGGGTGAATATATGATAAAGACAAAATTAAACAAAATTAATATTACCAATACCAATAGAAAAATTTGCATTATTGTTAGTATTTGTAGGAAGTGACGTTTTTGTCCAAGCTACTGTTATGCTGAATAAACAATTCTTTCTCCTGACCTACTAATTTTTCTGCTAGATGATCGAACTTCAACTTCTGAAATCATAAATATTTAATATTATTAAGAGATATAGAAAGAGTAAAAATAATAAAATTCTCAAACTCATGTAATAGTTACGCATATTCTACATCAAACCACGTCTACTCCACCCAAAACCCCACCCACGCAACCACGCAATTTCAACCCCCTCCCTCACCACAAGCCACGCGCTCGATAACTCAAACCACGCCATCAACTCAAACCACACTCCCCTTAATAACTCAAACCACGCTCTCAAAATATCAAGCCATGCCCTTAATAACTCTAATCACGCCTTCAAAAAGTTAAACCACGCTCTCAACAACTCAACCCCCATCCACTCCACCTTGAACGACGTCAACTTCACCCCAAACCCCGCCCAAGCCACAAAAAAAAACAATTTTTGTATCCAATTTTCAATAAAATTCAGGTAAATACAAAAGAAAAGAAGATATTTTGGAGTGTAGTAGAATTAACATGTTCACCAATAACTTGAAAACGGCTTGGAGAAGAAAACTCTTTAAATAAAAGTTGCTTGTGATGTATTCTCTATAAAGAAGAACGCATGCACTTTCCTTCGAAGTCTTTTTTTCAAAAGATTTTCCAATTGAAATTTTGGTTTTCCTGGAGCTTTACGTGCTGTTTGAAACTCGCCACATTTCTCTTCTTTAACAACTCTGTAAATCGTAGTTTTCCCAACACCAAGCGTACTACTAACTAATTCCACTGTCTCATCAACACTTTTACATAAATGTTTGTCTGTAAATGATTTAAAACAATTAAATATTAATGTTTTTTCATTAACTGTTAAAGGACCGATTTTTTGTCGTTTACGCGGCCCTTCCAAATTTTCCATGATCACACTAGAATTCACACTGCACCTTGCAAGTTGCAACTAAACCACATTTAGTAAACTGTCAAGAATACACATCTTGGACCTCCTTACTAAATGGAAAACCTATAATCGCATTTTCGGTGAAATTTGTTGGAAAGGTATTTATCTACTTATAATTCGATTACTGTAAGAAATTCTTGGAATTAAAATAAAACAAAATTGGCAAATAGGTACTTATTGAAAATAATCTTAAGATACGGCTATGTAATCTTTAATACACAGGGCGTTTGGCCTGTCCAAACCTTTTTCTATTGTTCTGTACAGCTTATGTTTATAAAGGACCAATAAAAGACCCAAAACTTGTTATAGCTCAGGTACATTTATTACAATTTTAGGAAATATTTAGATTATTCTGTAAAAATATTTAAAATGACCGTACTAAGTTTTGCATTAGAAATGCTGTTTTATTACTCTCTCATACATAAAAATAGACTATAATTATTTCCTAAAATCAACCGTTTGACAGAAAAATACGTGTAAAAATAGGAAAAAAACATTTGGTCTAATAAATTATTGTTATCAGTGATCTGCAGGATTTTAAAATTCCTGCGAAATTGTTTTTTAAGATAAGCAAAGTTTCTGCGTTTTTTATTTTTCATTTATCTAATAATAAACAAATAATTAAACAACCTAAAATATCTATTACCTAAGATTTGAGCAAATATTTTTTTTTGAACTTTTTTGTTATCTCTCGACCTCCACAAGAAATTCGTAAAATATTGATTGATTTTCGAACAACCTAATTATGTCCTAAAATCAACCGTTTGGCAGAAAATTACGTGTAAAAATAGAAAAAAATTTTGGTTTAATCAATTATTGTTATCAGTGATTTGCAGGATTTTAAAATTCCTGGAAAACTGTTTTTAAGATAAGCCAAAGTTTCTTCGGTTTTTATTTTCAATTATTTAATAAGAAACAAAGAATTAAACAACCTAAAATATCTATTACCTAGGATTTGAGCATTTTTTTTTTATTTTGAACTTTTTTTATCTCTCGACCTCCCCAAGAAATTCGTTTAATATTGATAAGGAATTTGGTAACATTCTATATAGGTAATTCATTTCTATTACGTTGTTTAGGTACCTTGTTTTTTTTTTCAGTATAGTGAAAACTGAATACCTTCAATAAAATGTAATCAGAGCTAGGACGAATCCTCAAAAAATTGAGAGATATGATTCGAATCACGGATCCTATGTCCGAATCCTTTCTGCAATAAAAAAGGATTCAAATCAAGTGATTCGAATCCATTTTTTCGAATCACAAATACGAATCACTGTCAGTGTCATACACATAGCACCAAAATTTCAAAATCAGGCCTTTCGTTCGAGGTGCGTCGATTATACCTGCAAACAAAAATAAACATTAGACTGCGCCAGACGAAGGAAGGCAAGTGTTCAATTTTAGGTTTTTTTTTTTATGTTGGATATTCATTGCTAATTTGTAATGTCAAAGAAGGCAGCAGAGCACCTAGGCAATTTTGAGTTGAAACCTATGCCATATTTTTAGGCTATTTTACAGCTATTTTAATAATACTTTTTTTCAAAAATCAAGGGCTCTGCTAGCTTCGAATAAAGTCACCAGAGCACCTCAGTTTTTTAAAGTTTTTTTTTCCAAAAACAACGACACCATATTTTTAGGCTCTTAAAATATTATTAAAAAATACAGGGTGCTTTGCCTAGCTTCGAACGAAATCAGCAAAGCACGTCTGTTCTGTATTTTTTAAAAAACATAACTTTTTTCGAAAATTTCCATAATATTTTAAGAGCCTAAAAATAGCTTAAACATGTGACATAAGTAGATGTTTCCAGAAAAAAAATAAACCGAGGTGCTTTGCTAACTTTGTTCCAACAAAGCACCCTGTATTATTTAAAAATAGCAATTTTAAGTAAAGTTATAAAATATTTCAAGAGCCTAAAAATAGCCTAAAAATGCGGTGTGGTTGATTTTAGAAAAAAGCTTTAAAAATCAGAGGTGCTTTGCTGACTTTGTTCTAGCAAAGCAACCTCTATTATTTGAAAATAGCAATTTTTTAGTAAAGTTCTATAATATTTCAAGAGCCTAAAATTTTTGAATAGGATATAAAAATAGCCTTAAAAATGGCTAAAATTATGGCATAGGTTTCAACTCAAAATTGTCTTGGTGCTCTGCTGTCTTCTTCGACATTAATTTGTAGATTGTTACGTTTATCTTCTAAATATTATTAATCGGTCTTCAGTCTCAGAGTCTCAGTTTACACTTCGCGACAAGTCAAAACGTGAGTCGACCGTTCGCGCCGGCGTAGTTTAGTCTCTAAAAGGATTCGTGACAAATATATTGGTGATTCGAATACGAATCCTTAAGGATTTCCTCGGCGAATCCGGATCACGGATCCTATTTTTCTTAAGTATTCGAATACCGTTCGCGGATCCTCAAAAAGGATTCGAATCCTAGGATTCGAATCCTCCCCAGCTTTGAATGTAATATACAGTGAGCGGCTAAATTAAAACTCAATTTGTCGAATTTTAAAAAAAATCATGAATCAGATAGATTTTTGTTTTTGTTTCAATCTACATTTGTAAACGATTACGTCGTCGCCCCTACACCGCAGACGTAATCGGTTTCAAATATAGATTGAGACATAGGAAATTAAAAACAAAATCGACCTGTTTCAGGGTTTTTTAAAAATTCGACAGTTTTCGAAAAACTGAGATGGCCCTAAAAGTTGGTCGCACAATGTTATATGAATTATCATATAATGAATAATAATGAATTACTACAAAACAAATTGATAACAACCGGACAACTTTTTATCATAATAAAAAACAAACATAAATTTATACAACTGAGAGGTAGGTCTAGGTAACAGAACAATTGTAACAACGGTCGTGAAAAAACCGCGGCAAAACTACTGCGCGCTTATTCTAGCCAGAGCCATGCCCATTCGCGTCAAATTAGATATTTTTATTATAAGTAACGAGGAGTTTAGTGTTTAGTTATATATTACGAAGCGAGGTCATACATATTACTAGATATAGCGTAGTATTAACAATTACTTCGATTCGCATACAACTACGGAAAAATAGTTGAAAAATTATTTAACGGAATAAACTCGAAAGTTAATGTTCGATTACGACATGTTAATGGTGATGCCAAAAATAAGGTCACGATTATTGGATTTGTAATCAGCAGGTAAATGTCCTTTCAATTTCATTTTATACGTGAGGCACAGATTAAAATCAATTTAGCTAACAAAATTAATTGCTTGTAAGCGTGGGATGATTTGAATGAGGTTATAAGTAGAGCTAATATAAATCGATCAGTCTTAAATAGATCCAAAATAATAGAAACAACAAAACAAAGAAAATTTTACCGTTCTTTGTTTTATGTAGGCAATCTTACAAAAACAAAATTTATACCGTATTTTTAAGCCTGATAATGGCACACAGTGGCCGAAACTACGTTCTCCGTTTTAATACCTAATACATGTTTGAACAGTTTCGCTCAAACATCATTTTTTTGCACAATTAAATCATTATTGATTTACTATATATCTATAAAAAAGGTGTCTTGAAATTTATGGGGTCAAAATAAGTTAATTTAACCAAAATTACTTATACACCAACTTGCTTCGTTTGTTAAATAAACGTAATCGTATCTGTTTTTTTTTAATCTCCAGAATTGAATTTAGCTTTTTTAACGGATCAAACTTGGTACGAATACTAGGCATTTTATGGCGAAATAAAAGCCGCAGGAACAATGTTTCAATTGCGACCATAAGCGTCTCATTAGGGGGAGCGGCAACAGACATTTCCCCTATTTTGTTTATCTTGTCACGTTTTGACATTTCTGTCATTAAAATATGAAACTATTGAGCTTTTACCTAAAAAAGTTACCCTTAATAATAATAATAATTTTTATATGCGGCATACAAAACGCTGCCTATACTAATATTTAGGTGTTGATGGCACCGAATCTTTTTGATATGTCCTTTTATAATAAAAAGTGTATCATTATAATAAATATATCGTGATAAATACCTGTATGTTTATGTTGTCAGTATAAGTGTCAAATATCGATTTAAATGTATTATCGTAGCCTTTACCATGACTACAATGAACAAGTTGATATGCCTTTGGTATATACATGTATTATTATTGTAACAGAAATAATCGTAAAAGAATTCGAGTTTATAAAAAGAGATTTCTTAATGGCCAAGTTCCAAATCAGCAAATATTTGCAAATATTAAAAGGCGACTTCGTATAGTTGGAGGTAAAGAAAAATCCTTTTTTTTTTCGGTAAAACAAAGGATATCGTATAAAAACACGTTTAACGGCAAACCCAGGGACGGACTATTAGCTGTATGTTACGCTTTAAAGAGGAAATGTTATACGTATTTAAATATTATCACATTATTCGCATAATTTCCTTCTTCGATTATTTAATAAATATCACTAAATTTAGTTTTTACTTACGAAATTGATCCGAAATAAATATTCACGCCATGAAACTATAATATTTCATTTACTTGAAGTATTTAATTATTGCATTGAATATTAAAAATCAATGAAGGATGTTATGAAAAATGCTTGAACAACTGTTATTAGTATCCTCTTATTATAAAAAAAATAAATTACTGTGGAATATATTAGTCTGGCTTTAATTTTTAAAGTGATTGAAGCATCCAAGCCTTCTCAACACGTCAAGATTAGATTCCTAGAAAAAGAAAATAGGAACAAAATCATGTCCCTTTCCAAAATAACGTGAACCAACAGATACATGGTTATATCAAAACTATAATCTTCACTGGACGTGTCATTCAGGTTTATAATGCAAGAATGAGCCGGAAATATTGGATGGTTATTTTCAATTTTGGTAAGACGGAGAACGCAATTGGAGCATAATTCTTGAGATGAACAAACTACCAACAACTTCTCTGATAACATCGAAAATGGTTTCAGACAATGCAGGATTATTTTTTTTAACCTCCATTTTGATATTACTCCAAATTAATTCTATGGCATTTAATGTACGATAATACGGTGGTAAATGTATTACGGTCTGAACGAATGCCGTAGCCACCTAATCTACAACATGGCTAGGTTTGAGATTTAAGCCTTTCAATATTGCAAGAAAGTCATTTTTTAAACTGTAGGTGGATATGATGCCCCCATTTTGTCCAAAAACGCGGAAATTACCTCTTTTTGAGCTTTCGCTTTTGGAATTTCACTAGTTTGACGAGAGGGGCATTATCCATTACTATACCAGCATTTGGTGGAAAATTAGGAATTAATTGTTCAGCGTAATTAGATCTATTATTTTAATTATAATTTTAATTGGTGGTACATATTTCAAATAATTTTTTGAGCTGAGGGTGATAACTACATACCAAATTATTGGTTAATATCATCCCCCTCGTCCTCCTCGTCTCCTTCCATTCTTCTTTACTCTCAGAAGAAACTTTGATGGGTTCTGCATAGAATTATGTAGGGTTACTTGGGGTACGAACCATAAAGTATTCTCGTACAGATTTTATATTTTTTACATTTTCTCAGTATATATTAATATTTGGCCCCCCGTTCTAAGCCAAATCTTAACATTTTCCACTATAGAATATGCAGGTAAAATATAATATTTTCTTTGTGAATTACCCTGTATAGGTAAACAATAATTTAAACTGCCAAAGCCCACTTTAAACTGTTTAAATTTTACAATTTATGTGAGTATTTAAATATCAATTTAGTTTTTTTTGAGATCCTATTTATTTAAAAAATAGTCAATCAAAATTATAATTATTTACATGCCTTCAGGGATTACATTATTTTCATCACTTTCAAAGGGCCTCTAAAAAGCCATTTTTTTTATAAACAAAAAATCCAAACAGTAATGCGAATACAACACTGAATAAACAAATATTGTCAATTTCTGCACAGTCAACATGACGAAAACGCATAGAAGCGTGCCAAATAACCAATTAGAACATGAGTTGAACAAAATCACAGAATTACTATTGCATATCCCAGTCCATGTTGATCGGCTTTTCTTACAGGTTATCTTGGGATACAGCAAATAGAAATTTGAGAAAGGCTCGATTCGACCAATAGGAGACGCTAAAATTAAGGTGTTATAATTAATCGAGCCGACAGATTCTCATCGTACAGCGTTGCCAGGCATAAAATATTTATTTGACACTCGGTTCCAGCATATTTGCTCGAAGGGTACTATGCGTTTAACGTACACAGTCGTTTTAGCTGTAATAGAATTGGTCGCACCATTTTATTTTTGCAGTTTGACAACTGTGTTTTCTAAGCTGAACGTCGGCGGTGTCTTTTGTAAATTATATCTAGATATATAAATAATACTGATATTTAATTGTGGAATAGTAAAATTTATCTGTGTCGTCTATTATAAACTATAAATCAAGGAATATGGATCGAGGACGAATAGGTACGACAAAAACTGTAGAAGCCGAGGAACAAATATTGAATGCGGTCGAACATGATCCGACAGTTAGTATTAGACGTGTAGAACACAACATGGCAGTTCCCAAAAGTACCATTCATGAAGTTTTAAAAGTACAATTTAATGTATCCTTACCGTATGAGGAAGGTGCAAGAACTTTTACCCGTTGATCCTGCAATGCGTTTACTGTTTTGTAATTTTATTCATAATAAAAGGGTCCAAGAAAAAATTTACATAGACAATTTCTTTTTATTGACAAAGCTTCTTTTACTAGATATGGCGTAATAAGTCAATCATTAAAGATAATCAATTCACGTTAATTACAAAAGTTTTAAACTTTATTGGGATATTTATTAAATTGAAATAATTATAATTTTAATTAAATTATAAACAAAGGCCATTTTGATATAAATTAACTAGTTCCGGACCTTGGAAATGGTTGCAAATTTAAATATGAACTTATTTAAACTAGCAGATTACCTACCTATTATTACAAAGTTGAATTTTTTTTGTGAAATTTCCACAATAGGACGTCTTTATTGACTGGCCTATAACTAATTTAAATTACGATCAGGTTTACGCTGACGAAAATCCGAGAACAAAGATAATAAACCATTTTCAACGTACGTTCATACCCAATCGTTCAAATGGGGATAATTATTTAAATTTCTTACAACAAACGTTACCTGCCTTATTTGAAGATGCACCACTAATAATTTATCGCAAACTGTGATTTATGCACAATGATGCATCATCCCATGTTACAGCAAATGTTAGACAACATTTACCAAATGCATTTCCTAAACTATGGCCTTCAAGATTCCCAAACTTGACACCTTGTGACTTTTTTCTGTGGGGTGCTTTAAAATATCTGGTTAATTCAACTTCAGTTAATAATATGCAAGATTTACAAAACAGAAATATTATAGCTGGAGCTAATGATTTCAAAAACGAGGCAGAGAAAATGCAAAGATCGCATTTTCACTTTTTAAAGAGAATAAACTTGTGTATTCAAGAAAATGGTAGTCATTTTGAACATCTATTTTGATTTTTGCAGTTCATTTAAAAACTAAAGAACCTATCGTGTACTCGGATTACTTTGATACTGGCGGAGTACTATGATCACAACTTCACTTGTGGAGTTATCCACCTTTTAATTTTAATTTTCAAAGTCTAGGTACCACTAAATGTGGTTATACCGGTAGAGTTGAAAATTAAAAAGGCCGGTGCTGTTTTGTTTTCCTTAATTTAGTGTACAAATGCTATTTAACGAGTACCTAATTACCTACATATTTAAATTAGCGAGTTATTTTAAGATATAGATCACCATTATGCCTTGAAAGGTACTTTAAAATTATTTGTTTTTCTAATAATGATAAGTAATAAAATTTAGTTATTTCGGTATTAAAACATTGGAGTATCTAATTGGTAGTTGTAAAGTTGTAAAAATTTGACATTATACTATCAAAAATGGGCAAACAAATGACATGATTTATACTAGCGGTCATTGGCAGCGGAATAACTTTTCTCGGAAGTGGGTTTAAGCAGTCCTTTAAAAATGCCACTCTTCCATAAAATAAGAAACAATGTAAAGGTTGGTTATCTATGCATAATATTTTAAAATTAAAACATAAATTCTGCCCTGCTAAGCTGAAACGTCCTATCTGACATGAGAAAAGTTTTGGGATATTAACGATATTTCTGTTTTTATATTGTTCACTGTGTAAAT